CAGCTTCAAGTGATTACGCTCTCCTGCAGAGAGTATAGCTGATCCTCCCAAATACTAGCCCAGTCTGTGTGAAGGGTGTAAAGGTACTGGTTTATTATGGCCAAGTTGCCTGCTTTTATACACAGCCCCCCAGAATGGGGTCTGCATTCAATACAAGACAAGCCCCTCCCATAAATCTCTGTGCCTGGGAGATAATCACAGGAACAGAGAGGCAAACAAACATAGAAATACCCCAAAACATCATACAAATATATAATAACCCCACAAATAATACATCCCCAAATAGCCCTGCTCTGAGCGCCCAAGTTCTCCAAATAGCGCTCAGATCCATGCAGTGTAGGGGAAACGCCACTGTGTAAAAGTTCTGCTCGGCCGCACACGTAGTCCTATACCCAAAAAGTTTCAGGGCATTTGGTGCTTTGGCCGGTCAACTTTCGGGTGCTTCTGCAGCCGCAATACGGGGTGCTGTGCCTGGGTCTATGGTAGCATTTGTTTCCCTTAGTCTCAAGCACCTTCCCTCCAAAAAGCTCTCTCCTGGTGGATTTCAAAGTGGTTCAAAACCGCAAACCAAGTTGTCCGGTAACCACACGGTCACCTCATGCCGAAAACAGTTCCATAACATTTGTGGCTAAGTCTCGCTGAGGTGACCGGGAACCCACAAAGTCCTCATGACGAAATTAGTTCCATAGCGATCGCGGCTAAGTACTGAGGACAATTTGTGGGTTTGGTTCATGCGTACGGCCGCCAGAGAGCCAGTGTTTGGTTCACACAAAGGGAAAGTGCCGAACCAGGGGCACCCAGAGCAAGCTACTAATGGCGGCTGGGGAGGTTTAACTACCGAACAGGGTCTTTGTATATGGCCAATAGTCCTTGGGCAGGAGGCTAGCTAGCAGGTTACTCCAGAAGCTTGTGGCATAGGCATGTTTGTCACAGGTTAGAATCCCAGGTGGTCCAGTAAGGATAGTATAGGATTCTGGGAGCATGTGGTCTACACCTTTGTCAGGTGCAAATGATGCTTAGAGCTCCCTCATGCTTCTGTTAATTATTTAATGACTCAGAGGGCTGGTGGAGGTGTCGACAACATGCACTACCAGTGATCTTGATCTCCCTGCCATCTCTTGCAGATAGGATGTGCCTCAACAATCATATCCAATGCTCCAGGTGGCTCAGGAGCCCCAGGCAACTGCCTTATGGATATTATGGCTCTGTTTTTAGACCTATTTTTGTGACAGACCATAACTATCAGCAGTATATAGTGGGCCACCTCTTTAGCCAGTTAGAGTCTGTATACTGCCTTTATATAGATGCAAAAATATACAGACTTGGATAGGTTGATATGCAGATAGATATAAATATTTCAGGAAGTATAGTTAACATTAGTAAAGCAATAAATTAAACCATAACAGCATCTCTTTTTCAGCTTGATCTGAAGTCACTGGTATATTTAGTCAGCAATGCTCACTCTCAATAACAACTCTAACATAAAGCTGTGCTCTGCAATTCCATTTTACCGTTTCAGGAGTACATACATAAAGGGTGTTGAATTGATAAGCAACCATTTAAACACCCTATCACGGTTGTCAATTCGGCAAGGTTCAAAATCTGTGCAGAACACCAATGTTTGCAATCTGCCTCTTAGGTTTTCGTGCACGGAGATGATCTGGAGAGTTTCTACAAGGAGATAGATGCAGACATCCTCCCGGCTGACTTTGGAGGGAATCTGCCCAAATACGATGGACGAGTTATTGCCGAGACACTCTTTGGAGCAAAAAATGAATCTGAGGACACAGCTCTTTAAATTGGTTTAGGTCAAACAATAAGTGCTGTAAGCACGTAGCTTTCTTAGCAAGTTCTAGAAATTATAATCAAATTTGAACGTCAAAGTACAGACATCAAGACTGTGATGGCCGACACTGAGAAAGTACTTTGAATGTAGATGTACAGAAGTAGGTTGACCCTTTTTTTGCTAGTTTAAACTATGCAGGGCAGGGGTTGGCTACCTTTGGAACTTCAGATGTTGACTACATCTCCCATAATGCTCTTACATAATGCTGGCAAAGCTTCATTGGTAGGTGTAGTACACATCATCTGGAGTGCCGAATGTTGCATACCTCTGATGTAGGGATTACAGAGAGTAGGCTTGACTATCTGGGGAGATAATGATATCTTGAAAAGTTTATCATTGTGCATTAATTAATCCAGAAAACATATATAGGTTGATAAACATTGTAATAACAGTGAATGTCTGGCTTTTTTAAAATCGTTTCATAGTTTTTAACAGCAGAGGTGAATTGACCAACTAGGGATGGGTGGGTGGGGAGGGGGGAATTGAGATTAACTATATTTCCAGTATAGCTAAATTAGTTGATAAGTGAGGATTCTACAAACCACATTTGTAAAAAGCCAGATACTGTGTATTTGTTTAAATAGAGTACATTTCCACCTTTGGGATTTATGCAATAAATTTGTGATCAAAACAGCTGAAATAAATAAAAAATTATCAACTCAAAAATCTGAATTGCAACTAAAATTGAAATTAACCCTACTGAGAACCAGCCCATTAACTTGTGTCCTCTGTACTGGACATTTCGTTCACATGTATCTCCTTCTATTCTTTTAAGCTACTCTATCAATCCCTGCTGTATTATAAAGAGGACATCCTGGGCTTTCCAGTGATATTACATGTGATAGGCTGGATTGCTGGGAACTTCCTCTTCCTTTTTATCAAATATGAATGGCATATTGGAAGACTATTTTTTTCCTCGGTTCCCAGAAGGATATAATATATTGCCTGAATTGAGAATTGTGAACATTTAGCCCCAAAGTAAATATCTTCCACATCTTAAATTCCTTTAACATTGGAGTCTATTGAGTACATTATTGCATTCTCTGAATTTAGCCTCTGCTGGGTCGTGTTAATTCTTATCTTCCATTTTAGTTTCCGATGTTGCAGCATCACACGATGCACATCATGGCAGGAAAGATGGAGGGCATTAATCAACATGAAAAATTTACTTTATTAGTCATTGGAAGGATTGAGGAAGAGATCACATAAGAGATATGCTTATTTAACACATAGGAGATAAGTTGTTTTCTTTCTTTTCCTTTTCAAGAAATTTAAGCAATTAAAGAATTAGAACCCAATGTGTTATGGAAATTCATTAAACTATATTAAGTTGAACAAATTCTAGCTTCCTTCGCATAATTAAGGATTTGGCTAGAGACTAGAGTATAAGCGCACAGTTTGTTCTTACTTGTTTTTGCAGTTATAAAGAAAAACTTCTTTAATTTGTGGTTTGTCTTTGACTTGTTCATGGAGAAAACAAAATATTTCATACAATTAAATAATTAATGAAAATACAAACATGCAATAGTCCCCCAGTATGAAAAAGATTTTTAGACATACTTTTTATGCAAATTTCAAATCACATATGTAGACGAACAGAATGCCGAAAACCCAATGTGCATCTCTTAATAAAATATGTAAATATGTATTGAATAAAGGAGGTAACCCTCACAAAATCCTGGGACTTTAATGTCCTGGAACAGGAACAAGGGAGAGGTCATTCAACCAAAATAGAAAATTCATCAAATGCAGCACAAAGAAAATATTTAAAACATCCGTTAAATGACAAACATCCTTAACATCAGGTGAACTTTCTTCTGACAAGACAGTCAATCTTAGCTACCAGAAAGGTGAAAATAATGCCTCTACACTTTGGCATTGGGTGTGAGTGTCAGTCTTTCAAAATTTGTAAAATGGTATAATATGATCAGAAAGAGATAAAATGGCACGTCCGTGTACAATAAACCAGATGCAGTATACAACTCAATATTTTATAACCATTTGAAATATACATGCATGATGAATTTTTTAACTTGTCTTTTTATCATATGTTACTTTTTTATGAATAAATTTGGGGCTGCAGTGGCACCATCACTGATGTGGCACTTGGTCACAGGGGCAGTAACCTCTAAAAATCTAGCAGAAACTCTGTATCCTATAAAAATGCATAACAAAAATTCTATCACACAAAAATGATGCATAATATTAGCAATCCCAAATGTCCCATTGCCTTACATGGCCATTCTAGGTACTACAACCACTTCATTGAATTGAACTGGTTATGATACCTGAAGTCATCTACCACTATTACTTTATTCAATGTTAGACCCTTTTCTAATGGGTTAACAGTGAACGAGGCTCTCTGTCTGGTCCCCAACATACCAATTCACAACACCAATGGATGGCTGTAATAGGCTAAGAAAGGTCAGTTGACACTCTTAGCCTATCATTGGTACCCATCACTGCCCAGGCTATTAGCAAAAGTAGTACAAATGAATTAGGCTTTGTGCTTCAGTTGCCATTATGTTCCTCCCCAAACAGGGAGGGCACAAGGAATGCGTGCAGGTAGAAGTTCAGGTTCCCCTTTACAAAGAGGAGGAATTGTGCTTGCTTTGGGCACTCCTAAACAGGCTTCTGGGTGGCAACGGTTCCTTGCTGGTCCCTAGGCAGCCCCACAACAATGCAAGATGCAGTGATAGATTTGGGGTTTTCAGAGCTGGTGATTGTGTTTCAAAGCTGGTGACTGTGGGGGGTTCTTCCCACCCCTGCCTTCTTGGTTGCGAGTTGCATGTGCCGCTTGATGTCAAGGAAAAGATTATAAAACGTGTATATGTGGACTTGTCGTCATTGACTTCTCCAGACTATTGTAGCCACCTCAACAGCAGACGGGTTGTTCAAATAAATTGCTGGCATGTTAGTCAATAAAATTGTGGTTGTTGTCCTATCCAAAGAAACGTTATGGGTCTGGTCTGGCGTCTTGTTTGTGGGCAGCAGCCTGGTGGGATATGAGAATGGGTCAGCAGTCATGAAAATGAAGACACAAACCACAAAAAACAAGGAAAATAAAAACCCAATGGAAAAATAATTAGAGAGAAACAAAAATATTAAAAACATTCCTCCTCTTTCCTTCACCCAGCTACTGTTCAAACAAACAATTACCTCCAAACTGGCAGGGTCATTCGTTGCCCATATTTTCAATATCAAAAGACAGGACTTTCTCAAGTTTACCAAACTGCAATACCAGGAACCTCATAACAAAGCACCTTTAAATGTTACAAGTGATCAGGTGGTTCTCAAAAATCAGGTCACCATCAGTAAACATTTATATAATAAAAAAAAGCTTTATTTGCCGAGATTATAAACCTTTAATTAGCACAACGGACTGCAAGTGGGTGTGGATAAATATGACTTTGATTTTGGTCTGTCCATACCATCTACAGTGGACTGCAAGTGGGTGTGGATAAATATGACTTTGATTTTGGTCTGTCCATACCATCTACAGTTTTGTGCCTACCTTACTCCCCCCTCCATTTTTAAAATTTTTTTACACAAATGTTCCACCCCTTCATGACTCACAGAAAATACAATCTATTTGAACATTGGAGTACTGGAATGGTGAAAATGGTCCCAGGTTTCAGGGATCGCCATCCTATGGAAAAGGAGTTAGTGATATTTTAAAAGCCAAAATTAAAACCTAGCAAATTCAACAGCTTAAAATACTTTAAAACCCTTTTCTGACAAATAACTAATATTCCAAAAATATTTCTAAGTGTTATCACATGATGTGAATGATAACCACAAAACCCTTTCCTGATCTGATGACATGTACTAACAAGGTTTACTAACAATTCCTTGCACCAGTTAAAGGACATGCAAATAAAATGTAATGTAACTTAAGTGTTCCATGGACACTGCAATGCCCCTTTGGACCATAAATGCATCATCAATGCATTTGGCTCTGCATCATCCTGTGCATAGGCGTGCGCACGGGGTGTGCCGGGTGTGCCTGGGCACACCCTAATCCCCGTGGCACGCCTATGGTTTGAGTCCTGCAGGAACAGCGTTCCTGCACTTTTTTTGAGTAGGAACGCTGTTCCTGCAGGCACTCAGTGCCCCCTGTTTCACCTCTTGCCCCTGTCATGGGAGGGCAAGAGGTGATGATTCCCCCCCCACCCTGCAGCTCAGCCGCGGCGAGGGAGCTCTCTGCTCTCTGCTTCCTCTCGCCGCGCGCTGATGCCGGGAGCCGGAATATGACGTCATATTCCGGCTCCCAGCTCCAGCAGACAGCCCGCGCGGCGAGAGGGAGCAGAGAGCAGAGAGCAGAGAGCTCCCTCGCCGCGCGCTGAGCTGGAGAGCGGCGCTCGCCCCCACTGGACCCCAGGGAAAAGTCCACTCCAGGTAGGAGGCTGGGTGGAATTTTTTTAAATTAAAATGTAATAATTTGTTCTTGTGTGTGTCTGTGTGTGAGTGTGTGAGTGTCTGTGTGTCAGTGTATGAGTGTGTGTGTCTGTGTGAGTGTGTGTGTGTGTCTGTGAATGTGTGTGTTTGTGTGTCTGTGAGTGTTTGTGTGTCTGAGTGTTTGTGTGTCTGTGAATGTGTGTGTGTCTGTGAGTGTATGTATGTGTCTGTGAGTGTATGTATGTGTGTGTGTCTGAATGTGTCTGTGAGTGTGTGTGTGTGTACGCATATATATATATATATATATATATATATATATACACACACACACACACACACACACACAGAGCCGGCGCTATCTGAGTGTCGGCTCTGCTCTAAGCCTCCATGGGCCAGCGGGGAGACCAAAGATCTACCTCACCGGCCCACAGCAGCATGGAGGGAGGCAGGAGAGGACCCAGGGAGCTCTAGACAGACGCTCCGCCAGGTTCCTCTCGCAATATCTGAGTGTTGCTGCGGCAACGCTCAGATCTCGCGAGAGTTAACTCTAGCCCCGCAAGCTAGAGTTCACTCTCCACTGGACCACCAGGGATGGAACATGGCAGCAAGGATTTACTAATCTGCCAAATCCCTCCAAACATACAGCACACACACATACAGCACCTACACACATACAGCTCACACACACACACAGTACACTAACCGCACCCTCACAAACACACACAGCACCTTTAAAAAAAAATCACAACACCCTCACACACACACACACAAACAAACAGCACCCTCACAAATACACGACACTCACATAAACAGCACCCTCACAGGACAAACATACACACACAAACAGCACAGTCACAAACACATACACACACACACACAAACACCCTCACATCACACTAACAGCACCCTCACACACACATCACACTAACAGCACACACAGCAGTGTATGTGTGTGTGTGTATGTATATATATATATATATATATATATATATATATATACATACACACACACACACACACACGCGGCGTGTGTTTGTGCTTTAGGGTGCACACCCTAATGCAATAGGCTGCGCACGCCTATGATCCTGTGATGTAATCAATAAATTCTCAATTGTACCATTTGTTTTGCTTGTTAATTTTGCAATGTCAGTCTCTGAAGACTGATATTGTAATTTTAACAGCATCGCGGTTTACGCCTCGTGTGAAGACTACATAGTTTTGACTGTTGCAATGTTAGCTGAAAAAACTATTTGTAAAATTTATATTGTGATCTCCACCATAAATGCAACCTAACGTTGCCTGATAAATGGTTATCTGTCCATTAAAGATGCTCGATTAATTCAAACATAAGGACAGAGTGTTTGTTTTGTTTTTGGCTTTTATAAACATTTTTGACAAACAGAGAAAATTATACTATTATTTGCTTTTTTTTAATATAATTTATTTAGGGGAAAAAAATGAGAGAGCACAGGTAGGCAATGTTTGGCACTCCAGATGTTGAGGACTACAATGCTCTTAAAGTCGTAATGCAGGCTGTGCCGAATGTTGCCAAACCCTGCGATAGCTATGACAAAGCCCTCTTAAAATCCTCTTCTAGATAGGGTCAGGACAGTTTTACAGGACAGCTTCCGTAATGATCCCATTCAGTAGTTCCTCTGTGGTGATTACGGAGTTAAACTGAATAATTCATATTATTCCCCCACCCCCCCCAGCAATTGTGCTGGATAACCTGAGGCAATTAAGTTTTTTTGTATTTAATTATAATTTATTCCAGGAATGTTACGTTTTATTAACAACCGAATTTTTGACAGAGCACTGACATAAGACACGCTTTTCTAGACACTACAACAGCACACATTAAATTTGCAAGTAAACATTCTGAAATCGCATCAGCTTGCCAGTAATACCGCAACGGCTATTTATTCGCCTTTACTTGTTACGCACATTCTCAAGGTTTGAAAAACTGGGGTATGGTTTGCTGGCTGGAAATATCCTTCAGATTAAACACGTCAAGGGCAGTCTATGTGTTAATAGAGTCCAACGTTAAAACAAGAGAAACATTCATCTTTTACCTGGCCCTTTATCAAAGCAAACAGGATGTCTGAAATGTGGTTATGGAGATGGGAGGCTGGAGGTGTGTAAGGAAAAGGTACCTCTATGTAAAATAAATTTTAAGCACTTGAATACCTCACAGTCAGTTATTCATTAGGTCAACTAACTGAAAGATCTAACCTCTGCAAGAATCACAGCCTTACAGACATTTTATTTCTTTTCTATTTATTCTAACATTCTGGATTAACCGTCTCCACTGCAAAATGATGGCAAAACAATGATTCTCCCTTTAAACATTTTATTTAGTTTGTCGGTTCAAACGGTTATCTTTCCAAGCCACATTCAACTGTCACATTTCAGGTTAACTGGTTGGAAATTGTCTTAACAGTATACTACTTCTCTTTAATACTGGATTAAAGGAGATATTGGGCACTAACAGCACACCCATACATTTGCAGACTGACTAATCTGCACACAGTGCTGCCAGTGATTGGCTGAAATTTTGGGTGGAACATCACCTAGTGGGTACATCTCAAATAAAAAATGTATAAATTAATGTTGAAAACGTACTACTCTATAAAGGTAAAAACATTTTTTTATTTGATTAATTTTTTTAATTTTTTTTTTTTTATAAAGCAGTAGTTATACATCAGTAGCATAGTAGAATACGCCTGAGACACAAATATACTCTACTACAGTTACAAGGGAATATGCAATCCATCCCATGTTGATGTTAGCCCGCTCCATCAACAAATACATTTGTACATAGAATTCTCAAGTAATAGGAGCTATGGTTGGGTATAATCCTGGTGGCCTTAGGTTAAAAAAAAACCAAAAACAAACATGTTAAACTATGGTGCAATATGAAAAAGAATTGGAGCACAATAAAATCATAAGAAACTTAAAGGCAAACTTCAGCTAGGAAACCAAGGAGGGGTGCGGAGGAGGAAAATTGATTGGTTGTGTGGAAACAAAAGAATATGCTCTTTGGGGAGAATATGATCACACCGGTTCACTGGTTTACAAGCTTAATTAACCTTCTGGAGACAAAGTGGGTGACTTTTCAAATGTCCCAAGGCATGAGGTGAGGAAGGGAGTCCCAGCAGATCTGGAGGGCATCTGAGACAAGCCCAGTGTCTCAAGGAAACAAGAGGAGTCCTCTGGTGCTGAGAGTTTATGAAGGAGACCCGCATTCTGGACGATAAGGCTCAGAGGAAATCCACAGCAGTAGACTACAGCCTCTCTTAAATTTTGTGTGGTAGGACTTCACGCCTGAGTTGAGCTGTTCATAACTTGGTAGAAGCAGAGTTGATGCTCCTCAAAGTTGTATGACATTTTAGCTTATATGCTGCCATAATGTGGGATTTATCGCTTAGCGTTAGTAGAGAACAAATACATCACGGTGTAAGGAAACAGGACCTCTCCCCCTCCCCCCTTTTTTCTTTTTCTTTACTTTACATACAGCTTACCAACAAGCGCATTCGGTGTCTATAGCCCTGAGAACCCTGGTGCACTAACATTGCAGGGCAGGTTTATTAAGTCTGAAACTTATCATTTATGCTAATGAGGCTTCACTGCAATGCAAAATTCACAGGTTAAACTACATGTGATAGCTTACCTGCATACATGAGCTTTAAGGAATTCCACGCTTATAATCAGCTTTGTATAATGAAGGCTTTCACCTTTACAATTTAGCTTACATTTTGATTTTGGTTTGCCTTTAATTTATGTCCGATGTGATAGCAATCGCACATTCATTACTTGGCTTATTTTCAAACTCGCACCAGTCTGTCATCTTCCCAACGAGTTTCAAGAGCCTATCGGTTATTGTTTTTTGTTA